TTCCTTAATATCCCTCTCCATTAACATCCCTCTTCCTTGATATCCCTCTTCCTTGATATCCCTCCTCATTAATATTCCTGTTCCTTAATATCCCTCTTCCTTAATATCCCTCTCCATTAATATCCCTCTCCATTAATATCCCTCTCCATTAATATCCCTCTCCATTGATATCCCTTTTCCTTAATATTCCTCTTCCTTAACATCCCTCTTCCTTAATATCCCTCTTCCTTAATATCCCTCTCCATTAATATCTCTTCCTCTTGCACCCCTGCTGCTCATTAACAGTTAATTAAAGCCCTCAATCCCCCCCTCCTGGGAGCAGGGAACGAGGGAGGAGGGGTTGGAATGTCGCCCTGACCTCGTTCCCGGGGATTTCTCGCTCCAAAAACTCCCCTTGGAAGCTTTCCCCGAGCTCCTGTTTGTCCCTGGAGGGCATCAAAAGCGGGATTTAAAAGAAAATTGGGGATTTCCTGAGGGATCCAACCCCTGGAGAGGTCAGGGAAGGGGGATTGGAGGGGCTGGTGGAACCCTGCACTCCTGAAATCTGGAATTTTCCACCTCCGGGCCGCTGGATCCTGAAGGAAAAAACCTTGGAAAAGGCAATCAGACATCCCTGAACCTCCCTGCCCCGGGTTTAATTAGTGAGGAGGACGAGATGAGCCTCTAATTATCCCCCCTGGCCGAGCTCCAGGAGGAAAACAATGGGCATTTCTGGGATTTGGGAATTTTTGACCCCGAAATGGCCCATTTTTGGGGGGCTTTTAAAGGGATGGGATTTGGGATAACTGTGGGATTTTTTTCCTGGCAGGAGCTACTCCTCCCTGATGAAGGCTGAGAACATGTCCTCCAACCAGGTGAGTGAGAGCTGCTGATCCCACAGAATTCCCAGGAGAGGGATGGAATTCCAGCCTCCTGCCCGTGATCCCGCTGGGAATGACTTTGGAACTGGGAGGACACTGGGGCTGAGGAACAGGGATAAAGTGCTCCCAGGTCTTTGATCCCAAGGGAAAGAACAGGTTCAGGGTGAGGATTAACTGGATGCTCCATCCCTGGAAGAGTTGGACGGGGTTTGGAGCAACCTGGGATAGTGGGAGGTGTCCCTGAACATGGAATGGGATGGGATTTAAGGGCCCTTCCCACCCAAACCATCCTGGGATTCCGGGATTAAGGACACTCAGAATCCAGCCAGAGGGGTTTTTCTGGAATGTGGGGATGGCAAAGGCAGGAAAGGGG